CATAAGGAGTCTTGGGGGAGGGAGGCCCCGACATCTCAGTGGATACTACGTGCAGGAGGGTGGGGGCACCGAAGTTTACTCACCGTCTGCAGCACAGCGAACTTCACCTTCCCAAACTTATCTTGCTCCACCCAGGGCTCCCGGATGATTTTGGCGCCCCGCTCCCGGGCTCTCTGCAGGGGAGATGGGTGGGGGAGGTGGTAAGGGCTGGACCCAGGGGAGCCCTTGCCGCCTGCTCCTGCTGGATCTCCTGTGCTGTGTGTGGTCCAGGCCCAGGCAGGCACCCCAGCCAGCTTCTGCTATTGCCCCTGATACCCATGCCTCATGCTCATTTGACAGATTGGGAAACTGAGGCCCAGAGTTGAGTTTATGGGAGACAAACCCAGTGGGGGTGGGGGTCTGTCCTGCCTCTTCTAACTCACTCTGTGGCCCTTCCCTGTCTCCAGTCCTCAGTTTCCCCATTTGTAAAAAGAGTGGTTCCATAAGAAGACTATGAGCAGGCATTAACTGAGCACCTACTATGTGTCAGACTCTCTGCCAAGTGCCTTACACGCATAATTCATGTATGTGTGTCTTACTGCATGTCTGTGCTTGTCGCCGGCGAGGCAACATTATACGAAAGGTGCTGTGATTGTCTCCATTTTATAGGCGAGGAAACCAAGGCACAGAAAAGTTAAGCCATTTGCCCAAGGTCACACAGCTGATGAGACTCAGGCCCAGGCAGCTTGCCCCTGGAATCTAATGCTCTGGACCTCTCAGTGGCCTCCCGAGTATAGTGAGGTCCAGAGTCGTGCTCAAGAAATGGTGATGAGGAATCACTGCCTCCCTGTGAGAGCTCAGTGAGTAGGTGCTGTGGTTATGCCCATTTTATAGCTGTGGAAACTGAGGCCCAGAGAGAGGACACACAGTTGGGGCAGGGGTCACGAACTCAACAGGTGTTCCCTCCAGCCCCGACTGATGGGGGTCCCCGTGGCGGACAGAGGGCGGGCTGGGCCTTGTCACCGCGTCTCGGCGCCAGCCCAGGTCTGGCCTCACCTGCACAATGTAGTCACAGTCTTCCACCTCGAACGCGATGTCCTTCACTCCGTCGCCGTGTTTCACCAGGTGATCGCCCATCTCTGTGCTCAGCAGAGCGGTGGGGGTGGCACTGGAGTCATGGCCCCCTCACCTGTACTCCCGGCCTGCTGGGCTCTCTCCCCTGAACCCCGATCTGCCCCAGTGTCCCTGAGCCCACCCACAAGATCAAGTCTCCACCCCCTGGCACCTTGAACCCCTCTGGGCCCCCTCACCTTTGTTCCAGGGGTTGAGAGCCGAGGAGAAAACAAACACGATCTAAGACACGGAGGAGAAGGGGGGGTGTGAGCAGGTGTGTCCCCACCCCCTCCTCCCTGGCACCCTGGTGGGGACAAAGGGATTAGCCCTCCCAGCCCCGGCAGGATCCCTGGCGCTGGGTTGCAGTCCCTGCTCTGCCTTAGTGTCTCCCCTGGCCCTGAGGGATTGGTGCTTCTCGCGTGCCTGCCACCCCTGGGGCCTGAGACAGCTGCTGAGCCAGGTCTCGGGTCAGGGACACTGAGGCCTCTGCCAGCTGTTCCTGAACATCTGTGAGGCCAGCACCAGGGGCCCGGGTCAGCCTGGAGAAAGGGCCTACTGGTCTGCCTCACCCAACTGCAGCTCCAGAGTCAGGGGCTCAGAGACCAGCAGGAAGAGGGGGACAGGCGTCCTGGGCGAGTGGCAGTCCTGGGTGGGGACTCACCTGCCCTTGTTTGACCACGTGGCTGACCACCTCCCTGGAACCGGTCTCCAGGCCCTTGTAGGCTAGCGGTTTAAAACCCATCCTGCTGCAGTAGAAGGACGCGGCCTGGATCAGAGTGGCGACTGGTTCGTGAGGGCCGAGGGGCCAGCCTGGGGGGGCCCCGTGAGACCTCCCAGTGCCCCTCAGCTTGTCTGCCCCATCGCCCCAGGTCAGAGTCCCTCCGGGGGAGAAAGGCTGCACTCTGACCCCTCCTGATGCCAGATAAGATTCCCGCTGGGGTCCAGCCCTGATTGTGCAAATAGGACCCAGAGTGTCTGTCCTTCCTGGGCCCGTCCCAACACTGGCCCGATCCTCCCCTCCCGGGGGCCAATCGCAGACTCGGCTGGACCCTGCCTGGTCCACGAGGCCCTCTTGCCCGCCCTCTGCCCATCCCGGCCCTCGCCCTGGCCTCTACCTGCTTGGCGTTGCCAACCCAGAAGGTCACGGAGTGGAAGTGGAGGAATCGGCCTCTCTCGGGCTGAGGAGAGAGGGGGTGAGGCTGAGTCCCTGGACGTGGGCCACCTCCCTTGTCTCTCCCCCTCCTTGCCCCCCACAGCCTTGCTTAGCTGCAAAACAGATTTCTCATGTAGAGCTTGAGCTCCTGGGGGGCCAGGCTGGGGAAGCCCCCTCAGGAGGCCTGGCCAGGTTTCCCAGAGGGAAACAGCCTGATGCTACAGCAACACGGATTTCAGTTGGACTTTAGAAAGAACTTCCAGACAGGATTAAGAGATTGGCAGGAATTTAAGGAGATAAGCATTTTTCCTAGGAGGGCGAGGTTGAGTCCAGCGAAGTCTGGGGGCCAGAGGTGACCTTAAGTACATTAGGCATTACAAACCCGCTGTACTAGTCCTCTTTTTTTTGTTAATTTTCATCCAAGGATATTTTTTCATTGATTTTTAATATGTCTTTATTGATTCCAGAGAGAGGAAGGGAGAGAGAGATAGAAACATCAATGATGAGAGTCATTGACCGGCTGCCTCCTGCAGGCCCCCAACTGGGGATCGAGCCCGCAACCCGGGCACGTGCCCTGACCGGGAATCGAACCTCGATCTCCTGGATCCTAGGTCAATGATCAACCGCTGAGCCAAGCCTGGTCAGGCTCTATTGATTTTTAAAGAGTGGGAGTCAGGGAGAGAGAGAGAGCAGAGAGATANATCAACCGCTGAGCCAAGCCTGGTCAGGCTCCATTGATTTTTAAAGAGTGGGAGTCAGGGAGAGAGAGAGAGCAGAGAGATAGAGAAACATCGATGTGAGAGAAACACATCGATTGACAGCCTCCTGCACGTGCCCCTACCTGGGCCAGGCATTGAACCTGCAACCCAGGTGCCTGCCCTTGACCGGGAATCTACCCTTTGGTGCGCAGGCCGACGCGGTCACCACCACGCTACACTGGCCAGGGCCTTATTCCTCTTGTGACTTTTGCTGACACCCAGTCCCCCCGGGGCCGGGACCCACACGTCCCATCCTGCTTACCTTCTCTCCTTTGTTGCTGTAACTCGTCTAAGAAGGAAAAAAAGGACAGTAAGCCTTGGAAAGTCAGCCACCCGGTGTTCCTGGACGTCTCCCTGCAGATGGGACCACCCTAGGGAGGCTGCCATGGCCCTAGGCGGGCACTTACCATGGCTGATCTTGGTCACGCTTCCTGCCGTGAAGACTGGGACAAGAGGCCGGGAGGAGCTCAGGGCAGAAGTATTTAACACCCAGTAGGTCCCGCCTCTGGCCTCCTGGCCCTCCTGGGGGTGGGAGCTGGTCCCAACCCTGGAAGCTCCTAGGCCTGGGTGCCTCTGATCCAGCTGTGGCCTCACTGGACGAGGCAACTCAACCGGGTCCAGGGAGGGGGAGTAACTGGCTCAGGTCCACTAGGCAGTGGCCAGAGCAAGAAGCCAAAGGCACATTCTTTCTAGGAGCACAGGCTCGGACTGTGATCTCTGCCCTCCAGAATTCAAAGCTCAGAAGCCAAGGCCACCTGGATTGCAGCAGTGGCTCCCAAATTCTCATTTTCAGGGAGAATTTGAGGGGGGATTAGGGACTGGTCTTGAAGCCCCGTTTGCAGGGCAAGCGTGTGGTTCAATTTGGGGTAAGAAGGTTGCATTCCATTGTATTCCATCGTGGTTAGGGGCACGGGTGTGGGGTTCAAATCCTGGGGCTGCTACATCCTATGTGACTGGGGAAAGTCACCCACCCCTCTGAGCCTCAGCCTCCCCATCTTTGAAATGTGAGCCATAACAGTGTGGTGGGGATGAAATGAGATAAATAAAGCTTAAGTCTTCTGCAGTGGAACCTGGTGCACAGTAAGGCCTTTGTTGATGTTGGTTATGATTAATTATGTTTCTTTGGGGTCTGTGTGGCTGATGGAGAATGGAGTGGGGCTTGGTGTTGCCATAGCCTGAGTTTGGGGACAGAGTTTATGGCTCTGCCCCTGGCCCAGGTTCTCGGCATCTCCAGGGTGGTGGGTTGATAGAGTTGACGACTCTGGAAGCAGGAAGGCCAGGCTCTCCGGGCACCGTTTCACCTGAGTCCTCAGGTCTCAGTTTCCTGAAAGATGGCGTGGTGACTGTTGCCTGGACATGGCATTTACCTGAGGGCTCCAGGACAGTCCCAGTCCCCAGAGCTCTGTGGCTGAGCTGTCAGGGAACTGACTTTGTCAATTATTCTTGTTGCCTGGAAACTCTTTTTCCAGTCCTGACACTGACCACGTGGGCCCACGGCGGTGCTATGACCCCCTTCTCTCTTGCATTTTGGCTCCCAAAATGTCCTACATCAGCCTTAAAAAACACACAATAACCACAGATCATCGTGACTAGTAATGTCCTCAAGGATCATTTGGCTCAATGTTTTGATTTCCCAGATGAGAAAAACTGACAAATAGCAAGAAAGTGCCCGGGGCTACTCCCCCACAGGTTGTGGACCCGGGAAGAACAGAGATCCAAAGTCCAGCCTGTGTGTTTCTGATGTTGGATCTCATCCCACCAGTCCAGATATCTCCCTTCCTTTGTCTGTTTTCTGGGCAGATCTGGAGGCAGGCGAGGAGGTCCCTCCTCCTTACTCTGCCCCTCCTGGGATATCTCACCAGACCGCCCTCAGTGTCCACCTCACCCTGCCCCCCTGGGTTTAGGTTTCCAACTGAGAAACCCAGCAGAAGGAGCCCAGAGCAGAGCTCACAGGCCAAAAGGCAGAGGGCCTGGAGGGACTTGGGTTTCAGGAGGCCTGTGCCTCCCTGGGCCTAGACTGTCTGCACAAGCCACGTGCTTCATGCTGAGCTACTGCTTCCCTTGTAAGAGGCTGGGATTTGGGTACATGCTAGGAGGTGGGTGCCTATGAGACAGGCATCCAGTGAAAACTCTGAAGTCTCAGGCTCGAGAATCTGGTAGACAGCATTTCCCAGCCCCTTGCTGGAGGAATTCTGTGCATCCTGGGCGACCCCACTGGGAGAAGGGCCTCGGTAGCTGGCCCCTGGTTTCCTCTGGACATCGCCCTGTGCACCTGTTCCCTGGGCCAGTTTTGCTGTGGGTTTTTTTGCGGTTCTATCTATCTGTCTATCTATCTATCTATCTATCTATCTATCTATCTATCNTGTTCTATCTATCTGTCTATCTATCTGTCTATCTATCATCTATCTATCTATCATCATCTATCATCTATCTATCTCTATCTATTATCTATC